GGGCTGAGCATTTGGGTGGGGAGTCAAGATCCATGCCCACTAATCATGAACTCATACGACGCAAATACAAAAGCCACGTCTACGGAGAGGTCCCGGCATGAGATGCTGCCTGCTTTCTCGCTGGTTAACAGGCCGCCATGCCCCCGGGTTGCTGTCAGCTCATCCAAGTGCAAGAACAAAATGCCACTCCAGTCCTGAGCCATCGCCACCATCAGTGTGGACCAGGGTGCTGTCACCTACAGGGTTTTTTCATCAGTTCATTTTTGAGGGAGTGGACGACCTGGCTTTTCTTCCTAGTCCTAACAGAGGTGTGGGGAGGGGGATGGAAGGGTGGCTGTGCATGAGGTGTACTGGCCAGGAATTGAACCTGCGTCTCCCACATGGAAGGTAAGAGTTCTCCCACTGCCCCAAGCCCCCGAATAACAAGCACTGTTACACAGAAAATCGCTACAAAGCCTGAAGTCACTGACTAGCGATAGCCCTGCTTCCTTGAGCAGGGGTGCCAAACCAGGGGCACTGCCAAGGACACCTGGGGCCCTCCCCTCTGGCCCCAGTGGGTTCTGCACACAAGGGGCCCTGGGCGCAGTGGGGGCTGCGCAGGTGCCTCCACGTGAGGCTTGCTGAGCTGCCTTGGAGAGCCTGGTCTGGGCAGCCTTGCACAGGGTCAATGTTAACCACAGCTGCTAATCTAAAACGCTATTACTTTGTTCTTAAGCCAGAAGCAGTTAGCTGCTGAGGCTACGCAGGAGGGGGGCAGGGGGAGAAGGAGATGTTTGCTTAAAGCGTCTTAGGAAGCGCCTCGGACAACCTTGGGGATCCATGCCAACACTGAGGTCCCGTCTAACTCCATCTGGGGAGCGCACGACAAGCCGCCCGAAGGGCCGAAGGCCTGTCAGGTCGCCATCATTTCTGCACCACTGGACACACCTCATCCAACCACGGCTGTCAGGTTGGTTCTGACTCATGGCAAGTCCACACGACAGGGTGGAATCTTTACAGACGCACGCTGACTCACGGTCCTCCCTTGGCGCAGCTAGTGGGCTCACGCAGCAGCCCAGCGCTCAGCCCACAGTGCCAACGGTGGAAACGTTCTCCTAGTCTGGGTAGGATCCAACTGCGCTGCTCCGCTGTCTGTCTGTCCTTTGTCCTCTTGCTCAGACACATACACATGCCCACCGGAGTCCTCCTCACTGAGCCCTGGTTCTCTGCAGACACTACTGCTGCTCACTTAACAGTGTATCCCTCTAAAGCAACTTTGTAACGACGTATGTGCTAAGTATCAAAATGAACATGTCAGTTAGGTTCCGACTCACAGCTCCTATCAGCTTTGCGCAACAGAGTGCAACCGCGCCTGGCCCTGTGCCATGCTCTCCATCATTCCTACGTTGGAGCGCGTTGTGCAGCCGCCACGTGCTTCCACCTCATCAGAGGGCTCTTCTTCCTCGCTGCCCTTCTCCAGGCACCGTCTCTCCTGCCCACAGGTCTAAGGATGCCTGGCCATCCTCTCAGGGGCATTCTGGTTCTACTTCCTCCGAGACAGATTTGCCTGTTCTTTTGGCCGTCCCTCACAAACACCAGCATTCAAACACACCGATTCCTCTCTGTCCTTCTGCGCAGTGAACACCACACTGTCTTATAAGCAGACAATGCCTGCCACATTGCAACCAGCATCGATGCCCATGGGGTGGACGCTCTCATCATGAGCCCGTGGGTGTCAGAGGGGAACTGGGCTCCCCAGCGTTTCCTCTTGGAAGTGGGTCTCTAGGCCTTTCTCCCGAGGCACCTCTGGGCGGCCTTGAGCCTCCAACTCATTGGGTGGTAACGGCTTCCACCATCCAAGGCTTCCTGCCCCATTGCTGCTGTTGCTGCCACGGAGCCGGCCGCAATCAAGCTGACCTTGGCACGTGTTTTGAAGTGGACCACCAGGCCTTTCTTCCAAGTCTCAGTCTGGAAACTCTAAGGAAACATGTTCAGCATCGTAGCAACACGCAAGTCTCCACAGACAGATGGGCTGGCGGGTGTACGTGTGGTGCACCGGCAGGGAGGTGACCCCGACCTCCCTCCCGCAAAGCGAGAATGTTACTACTGAACAGCTTTCACACGCCAGGAGGGCGCTTGGTTGGGAGACTGCCGCAGAGGGTTGTTTTCAAGCAGACCCAGAGATGACAGAACAGTGGACGGGGCTGATCTGCAGGAGGGGAATGAGCAGCTGTGGGCAGACCTGGGTGCTGAGACTCACAGCAAGTTGGCAGAGAGCACCATGGGGAGGGGAGGCTGACCAGCTCCCGCCACACTGCTAGACTACTAGGCCACTTTTGTTGCAGTGGGGGGGAGGGGGGGGACTCTGCCCTGCCATGGGGCTGGACGCAGGGGTACACACACTCCCCTACGCCCCCACTCCCCCCGCTAAGATTCTCAGATACGACAAGCCTGGAGGACGCCGTCTCCGAGAAGCTGCTCAGGAGGAAACAGACAGACGGACTGGGGGGTTAAAAAAAAAAAAAAAAAAGAGTCCAGGTTTGTGCCCCAAATAGTTTATTTAAATATTAAATTAAAAAAACACACATCAACTAATCATTTGGCATACAGTTCTCATTTTAACATAAGAAAAAATGTAATTCAGGTTTGGTTATAAAAGAGGGGAAAAAAAACTAACAACCAAAAAATGAAAACAAAACCACAACAAACGAAACAAAAACACCAACGCTAACAACCACACACGGAACTACGTCTACCTCAGCTCGCATGGCGTCTTAAATGGGCGGCTGCGGTTGCAGTCTGTAGGCCAGAGCTGTCGGGCCAGCTCCAAGACACACGGCACACACGCTTTCCAAGGGACCAACCGAAGGAGAAGTGGAAGCATGACATTCCTGTCCTCAACGGGGGGTGCGGGGGTGGGGGGGAATAAAACCAAACAAACAACCCAGGAAAGTAAAGTGCTTGTCGTTGCTTTCGGAAGGAAACACAAGACAGTTGGAGGCCGTGGGTCTCGGGCCTGGGGGCAGAGGCTGGTTTAGAAAGGGGGAACGGTGTTCTGTGGGAGCCGTTGTGCTGCCTCTGTAGGAACGAAGGAAGGCGTGGGCCAGGGCTGCCCCAGCAGGGTGGAGAGTCTCTCTCTTGTTCTGGAAACTTCTTGACAAGTTAGTGGGAGACTTTGGTGTTTTCTGTGGCCAGGCACCAGGGCCACCCACAAGGGATGGTCCTTGGGCCAGAATCTTTGATGCAGCAGCAGTGGTAGCGGCAAGAGTAGCAGCAAACTTGGCTAACAGCAGAGGAACATGTGTGCAGCAGGCCCTGGCCAGCCCAGGTCACAGCAGCACCAGCGTCCCCCGTCCACCCAGCCATTCTCTGGCCCGTCAGCAGCTCGGTCAGTCTTTGGCTTTTAAAAGTTCCCGCCTTTCTCTCTTCCCTGTGACCTCTGTTTAATACTGGAGGCTGTTTAAGAAGCTAAAGTAATCTGAAGGCACCTGGATTAGGCGGAGGGAGGGGATGCGGCCATTTTCCTTTCTGATTCCAAAGAGGAGGGGCCAGTGGACCCCTTTGCGTGCGCTTACCTGGGGGTTGACCTGGTGCCGCTGCCCGCCCCCATGCTGTGCAGGGGAAGGAGCGCCCCCACAGCCCCCCCTCAAACACCTAACAGGTGCTAACGCGAATGCATCTTAACATGACCAGCGAGGGAAATTGAAACCAGAAACACAAAGGTGTAGTAAAAAATATAAAAAATAAGTAGTGTGTATTTGTATCCTATTTATATACATATACAGTGTTGGTTTAAAAAAGGAAAAAGGCTTTAAAAAACACTGACCTAGATATGATCGCCTTTTCCTTGGATAAAAGCCAAACTGTGGGACCACCAGGTCCTGGCCCCCCGGGGCCAGGAGGACCAGTGGCCCTAACTGCCCCTGTTCTCACGCTGTACAACCAGCCTCACGGTATTGCACGTGCCCCCAGAGTCAGCTGTTCGTTTTGGACCCTGATGATGAAATGCATAAAAGCGTCATTAGCAGCGGAAATCAAGTGTGTGGCTTGAGGCTAGTGCTCAGAGGCTGGGGGCCGAGTGGCCAGGACAGCGTGGCCACAGGCCGCCCGGGCCTGAGCATGCCCAGCCCTGCCCTCCTGTCCTTCCCGGGGCTCCTTTGAAGAGCCTGGGACACCTGCCTGCAAGCGGGTGATGCACAACTCGTCCAAAATGAGGAAAAAGGAACCAACAAACTATTACTCTGGGTTCTGCCCTCGGCAGGAGAGCATTGCAAGGTCTGCCAACAATCCTCTCCTGGGCCGGCTGGTTAAGCGCTGCACAAACTGAATACGTAAAAGCAGAAAGTTCACAGTTTCCATTTAAAGCGTCAATGTGTCGGGAATTGGAGGATTGTCGGCTACTGTTAAAAAAAAAAAACAAGTATGGGGGTGGGAGGGGTTTGAGATGAACTAACCTATGTCTTATGGACGCATGGTCCACATCCTCTCCTCTGAGGTCAACTGCCCCACAAGCCTGTGCACGGGCACCCCCTCTCTTCCCCCCC